GCATCATCAATGGCCAAAATAGCTGAACTATATCCAACTATTATGCAGTTGAGGGGTCAATATCCAAGTCTCAATAGAAAATTATTAAACATAATGAACTGCCAATTGCCCAAGTCACAAAAGGGTTTCTCTTTATTCTTTTAGTAATTCACAAAAGATTTCTTTGATTTAAATTGTGTCATGGCATGATCATGAATAATACATGGAATAACTGCAATATTCCCCTTTTATTTTATGAATATATATGGAATTGTAATATTATTCTCGAATAAATTTCAACGAGAGTGTCGCTATTACGCAAATGAGCGATTGTTAGTTATCGATGCATACAAAGCTCCAAAGAGATAGTTGTGTGCTGATAACTGTTAGTAAGCAAACTTCTATTGGGTAACTGTTAGCTTAGCTGAGAGGATAATTAACATAAAAGTTTGAAAGAAGAAGATTTGAAAATTCAAAGGAGATATGATTAGAGGATGATGGCGACAAGCCATAGGGGCCTTTGAATGGTTTGGGTGAGGATTGAATGTGAAAGATTAATTCTTTCCAACCCGATTGTATACACGCGTATGGCTGCAATGGGATGGGAACTAGACTTTGGGGGCTTGCTTTGTTATCACGATCACTATCACAGCTTTTGGTTGAGAAAATACCAAGAATGTCCATTTCTTAAAAAAGCAGTGAATGAGAAATATTTGTATTTTTTGGACAAACTAAGTAAAGATAGGACCATGGGGGAATGAATTTGCGTATGGATATTTAGGGGCTTCCAGAGGGTTCAATGCGGCTTATTGTGTAGCTTGCTCTCCCAACCTCAAAGATATATATAAATATTGATTGAACTAAAAATATTTGTCACACGTACGTACATAAGTGATTGACAGCTGTAAATAAGTATGAACTACTTAAATGGGACCTTACATCCATTAAACATGGATGATTCACACTAGCTAAAGTTCGGTAGATTAACAATATTCATTAATGGTTCGTGACCGGTAGAAGTCAGCTCTACAAAACCTAGCTCATTACTAATTAGTAATTTGGAATTGTTCCAAGTAAGATTAATTAAAAGCAGTTCAATTAGCATCAAACAAGTTGCATATTATTTTACTTATTGGGAGAACATTGTCAAGGTAAGGCATCAACAAGTTGCCCATTTTATTTTCTGATGAAAATGTGAGCAATTAAAGTTTGTGTGCAATAATTGTGAGAACATGATAATATATCAGCATCACTTTTCAATATGTCACATGATATAACTGGTCCACTCTATTATCCACTATATTGATAGAGGCCATGACTGTCTTAATTTATGTCATATTATGCAAAATTTTCAACCATTCTACTGATTAAACCGATGTCGGATTTGTTAATTTTTTTTGTTTTCAATTACGAAAATGGAGCGAGGCAGCTAGCAAGAACACTATTTTAATGCCTAATAATGGTGTGTAAATTATAGCCAGTCCGGTTGCTATCACCTCATCCACAGGAACATCACAGCCACAGAACAAAGGCTAGATTTGAGTTTTCACCAATAACTATATAATCACATAGATATTTTCAACAAAAAACCATTTGAAACAAAAAAAAACAAACAAACAAAGAAAAAGAGCAGAAAACCAAATAATAAAGTCTTTGAAAGATACATAATTAGAAGGTTAACAATAATAATTAATACATATATGGATATTGGATTAATGCAAATATAGCTGGGAAGGCTTTTAAAAATGGCAATTGAAATTAAGCATCACTGTGTTATGTTGTATATAACTTCATGCAGAGAAGAAATGATGAAGAGAAATAAATATCCAGGTGAAACTGAAAAACAACTCACCAGGAATGTCCCAAGGCTCGCACTTGTTGAGGTCAACTTCAATCATAAGGGTTGAGTCAGTCTGAGTCACCTTTTTCAGCAAATAGTCGCACACAAGCTCCTCATCTCTTGGATGGAACCTGAACCCAGGTGGCAACTTTGCCTCCACCATGCTTATGTTGCTCATTTTTTCTGTCTGTGTGTGTGAGAGAGAGAGAGAGAGAGAGAAGACAATTGGGATTGAGGGGCAGGGAAAAGGTTTTGTTCTGAGAGATCCCAATGCTCAAACAAAGATGGCAAGTGGGAGGGGGTATATATAATAAAAAATTAATAAGAGGGGAAAACAAAGGGGGGGGTTAAGTCAACTAGATATTCCGTATAAAAATTGAACTTATGAGGGTTTGAATAGCATAATTCTATATTTGGGTTCACTCTCCTGATATTAACAGCTTATTTGAGGCTGATTGTGAGATGGCTTTTGACAATCAAGAGCGTTTGTACAAAAATGTAAAAGTGTTTTTGGTCTTATAAACGTTTTTTTTTCTTTCTCTAGAGCACTTTTAATTCTAAAACCTTTTTTTTTCTTTCTCTCTAGAGCACTTTTAATTCGAAGTGTTTTTTCATGAAATATTTTAAAAATATGGATAATTGTCGAAATGTCACCTGAATTTATACATCAGTTTCAATTTGTCAGAAAAATTTAAGAGAAATGTCACCTTAATTTTTCAAAATCAATGATTTGTCATCTAACTTTAACGCCATTCAATTTTCCGTCCATTTTAAGGGTATTTTAGTCTTTCCATTTTCAAGAAAGAAAAAAAAAAAAAAAAA